TTAGAAGAAGAGAATGAACGGAATGCTGGTGTAAAACTTATTTTTAAAAATCCTAGATGTAGGTGTAGGCAAAAAATCCATTAACACGTTGAATGCCATGGGGGTCACCGGTGACCGGCACCGCAAATTACACATCCCTGAATAATTAAAAGAAAACAATAGAAAGACATTATTTTAAATAATATATATTTTTTTTAATTAACAGTTTGGAGTCGCATTAGCAGAGGTTATTAGTGACTGTATTAACAACTACAGGTGTGTTAGGGATAGATTGTTGGTTAAATAATATTGCTATTGTACAAATAATGTAGAATATCAAATAGAAGGTATGAAATTTGAAAATATATTATTACTATTCTTAATAATTAGAAAAATGAACAATCTTTCACTGTGGTAGTCAACGTGTTAACTTAGAATTTGCACACCAAAAACCTTTTTGTTTTATAATAATTAAATAATATTATAACGAGAAATACTCTTTTCAAGGTTTCAGAGAGACCTTGCAAAAGAGAGATTATTCTTTTGGACCGATTATTATTTAAAATTTCACTACATATGTGTATATTACATAAAACAGGTACTACGCACAAATATTCTTCAACGGCATGTAAATTATATATTCCAAAGGCATACTCTAACGTAAAATCGTGCAGAGTAATAATAAAAGAGCCCTGAAAATTATGAGACACTTTTCGCATTAATAACGAGAAACGTTTGATAACATTTCGCAAAGACGAGCAGAATCGACAAGGGAACAGCGATAGGGGATGTTCGATAACTCAGTATAAAGAAGTTCCATCTTTCCTCGTTATTTTATACTTACGTAATAAATAGCCACTTATAACATCTTTTAACAAGTTATGTCCGTACCATTGGTTTTCGTATTTACATTTCCAGTATCAGAATAAAAGTTAATTAGTACATGCTGATTTTTATGCAATTCTGATATTATGTAAAACTCGAATTACATGTAACAAATATTTTTTTTTAAAGATGTAAGATATTTGCAGGCAAAAAATTCAAAATATGTTCTTTCAATTAATCCTTGAACAATGAAGCCTGAGTTAATTGTCATCCAAATTTACAAAACATATACAGGGATATTAAAGTTAAATGAATAATTTTCAAATTGAATATACGAAGTAAGAAAATAATATGAATACAAAATTAAATTAAAAAAGGTGGCTCTCTAGATGGTCCGTCGTCCGAGAATTAATAGATTTCATTGTATCAGCAGATTTTTGAAAAATATATTTATTTAAAAATGCAAGTTATCTTACTTTTGAAAATTTTTCAGTAAAATTTTTATGAAATTCTACATATTGTAATTTTAGTTTCATTTTCATAATAAACATATACTGATAACTATCAGTGAGTCTATATGATTGCACATTTAATTATGTTATCATATAGAATAATAAAATTTTTTTATAATTCACCATGAAAATTGTAATATAGTAGACTCTCGTTATATTACCGCCGACGGGACTGTAGTCTATTTCCATAGACTATGATGGTGGAAAGGTGGCACTAGTATGGTTTAAAATCCACGTGACAATATATCGAGAGTCTACTGTATTCCAGTATTACAGTCTGTCCACGAAATAATTTAAATGAAATTATTACAAAATAGGATTTTAACCGTGGAAAATCAAAAATAAATAATGCACATTTTCTCATTAAAGAAAATAAACATACACCCTGCCGCAAAAGTATTCGTCCACTGTTTAAAACAATACCTCGTTTAAAATTGGACCAAATGACTTCAGGTTTCTCGAGAAGCTATACAAATTAATTTACTAAGATTCGTGCCTTTGTCATTAAAAAAAATTAAAATTTGCCGAATTTGGGAAAGAAATAGCAAAAGGCAATTTTTTAACTTTTTTATCTACTTTTGCTTAAATATTATTTATAACTATTACAGTATAGCCCCCTCAGACTTTCTATCTGAATCAGAAAGGTGCTATCCGAGAAGACTGATGGTACGTTGAACGAACTGAACGAAGTGAAGGAACAAAGAAAAAGGCGAAAGGGAGAATACGGGAAGGAAGAAGGCATGCGGTCTATGGGAAAATGTCGGGTCACTCTTATCGCCGTTTCCATACGCACGTAGGGAAAATGGTCGCCTTATCTGGCGTTTCCATGAATAATTTAGAAAGCTTCGCTGCTGAAAACTTCTCTACCGGTCTCGTTCTATCTTTTCGATCCTTTCTATGCGTTACCCTTCGCTAGAGAGCAATCGTCGGGAGGAACAGAGAAAACTGGGAAGGGGGGAAAAAAGCACCGGTTGGAACCACTGCAGCGAACCGAGATCAGGAATAAAGTCTGGAAAACCATTTTCGAAGGAGATAGGATTGAAGTGTTATTCAACGAAAGTTTTATATATTAGTGAATTAAAAATGAACGCTAATACTAATTACCTTAAGTTTGCTGGGGTGTTATATTTTTTACACTCTAATTAGCAGCTGTTCCTAATTTTAACTATTCCACCCAAATTATTTTTCAGAAAGCTTCAGCTTTTCATTAAAACAAGGAATCAATTGGGAAACTTCTGTTATTTTTCTTAACCCTTTGGGGACAAAAAAGTGTAAAATTTGTGAAAAATGACAAAAAATTGTACTCTTGGTACAAAAGACAGCTGTAAGTGTAGACAATAAAGATTTATAATATATACTTTGAAAGTTGGAATTGGTATTTCTGTTACTTTAAATTAATAATACTCTGTGCAAATTTAACCCTTTACCGTATTATTCTCTCAGCATTTGCGTCTACCAAAGTTAACTACTCACTGCTGTAATGTGGAAGCAAATCAAGGAAATTGAAATATTATTCATAAATTGTATTTAGAGTTTTCTGTCTATGCAATTTCTAATTGAAATTGTAATGTATCGGAAAGGGTTAAAGCAAGAGTTCTAGTATTCAGAGGTGGCGTGAAATAGGGATCGTATCTCACAGAGGTGCGCATAAGTAGTCGCGCCCAGATAATGCCATGAAATTGTGAATTAGCGTCCTTTTTTTCAATATTTTTAATTAGAAACATTCAAAAGTACGCAATAAGAAACGAATACAGGCCTGGAATTGTGCGAACACGTATGTAGGAGAGATTAACTCTCAAACGGCGGACCATGGAGAGAACCCCAATTTTAACGTAACTTTACAATTTCATTTTCTAAATTTTACACTGTCCCTTCATTCTCCCAATATATAAAACTGTTACGTTTAAAAATTATACATTTAAATTTAAGTTAATATCCTTGTACATGTTTTGTACTATTCAAGGATTAAACAATTAAAACCTAAAGGAATTTAATACTAAACCTGGTAATTCTTGTTTCCTTTCAGACTACCACTAATTGTTCCATACAAATTTTTTCTATAAAGAAAAATTTAAATACGTTCATCATTTGAAAGAATCTCAACGTTACACGAGTAACCATAATTTTCTGTTTCACGTTTTCTATTATTTGCAACTGCTAATACACTCAGCCATAGCTACGATACCGAAACTATGGTGGCAGGAGGTCGAAGCAAAGCAAAGACTGTACTATAAATTCGTAACACAACCAAATAAATTTCACTACCCTTCGACGTTTCCGCTGTTCCAGCGTCGGGGGGTGAGCAGGGTGAAGTAAGAAGGAGAATGGAAACAGTGAAAAAAAAAAGAGAGAAACAGTCGAACGAGAGGGTGTATAGGTACGTTGAAAAAATAGCGAACCAGCAGCACAGAAGGAAAAGGTGGAGAGAAATGTATTTTCCAACGTGTAGCCAGGCGCGTGCCGAGACATTTACGTAATTCTGTTCGACTTGTGAAACGACGACTGAATTCGATTCGTGTCGATCGGAAAAAAAGATTGCAACGTGATTCGCCAGAGGTGAAAACGGCTGGAAATTAGCATCTAGGATTAACGCGAGAATTGCATCGGGCGCGACCACGGTGAAGAGCGGTCAATCGAGAAAAGTGGGCAGAAAAATGTCCAATTTGCCACACGTGTCATTTTTTACGGCACGCAATCTGAATTCTAATGATCGGAATTTCTTTCCATGGACATCGCGATTGAACATGACAACGATGCCAGCTTTAAAACGGCGTACGTAAGATTCATAATTGTTCGAGAAGATAAAAATATTTATAAAATAAAGACTGATGTTTATTCTTTTTTTAATATTGACAAATTATTGAGTAATCATAAATGTAAAACGTTAAATTTATATAAAATGAGATATTAAAAATTTATATAAAATCCAAAAGTATTCTATAATTTTATAATTAAACAAAAAACTTCAATTTCCCTGTTTTCTATTATACAGAAGATATCCAAAAATCAGTTTTTTTTTTAAATGAAAGAAATTTAATTTTTGTTTATTTTAGAATACGTAATTTTAATAATTAAGGTAATTGAATGGAAGATGCCAGACAACCATAATCTAGAATTTATTAGGTAGATGGTAGCTAAAATATTGCTTGCAAACTTACAAAACATATGCAACAATATTAAGCAAATGATGTTCAAATTAGTTTATTTATAAGTGCGAAATATTCTTAAGCACAATATTATAGGTTTAAAGGTTTCATACGTCAAAGAAACATAACCGTCGATTCAAACGGTCCCTTGAAACGTGAATTTTCTCCGACATATTTGTCAAATGCGACATGAATTTCAATTTCCGCATTTTCCAATAATCGTCGTGAAATTTTATTTCACTACGAATACCCATATAATATTTAAAAAAATGGTAGCATTCAGATGAAGTCACCATTGCACACTGACATATTATGACATCAAATCAATAATTTTTCTATTCTCTTCCACTGCTTAATGTATCGTCTTTTAATTAATGTCGATGAAAAATTTTCAAAAAATTTCAAAAACATGGTATTATCTATGACAGTTAAAACACTTTTAATTACAGAATTGCTATTCCTTAACACAAAATAAATTATTGCAAAACATTTGAAAAAAATGGTGTTAGTTCTTCATAAAAATTATAATGGTACTTACCCAGCATGAAGGAACATGTAGAACGCGAACCTCCAGAGCTCGAGACGTTTGTCTGGTCTATAAATGAAGACACTGTCGATTGGTACTGGCCCAGAAGGATTCACTTCTCCCATCGCCACTGTGTAATATGTGAAGAAACCCAGCTGTAAATAGAAAACATTGAAAATTTTATTCTTATATTTCTTTGTAGCTGTTAATTACATATATCGGGTGTCCCATTTGAAGTGAACCACTTGGTGATCACATTTCTGCAAAATATAGTTAAAGTTGAAATTCATAATATTCAAGATATTATATTTACATTTTCAAGTTAAATAGTTTATAAAAACTATTACTGATTGCACCCTTTAATCATGGTTCAATTAAAATTGAACACCTTGTATGTATATATACAGGGTAGGTACAAAGTAGATATCAAATTTTTTTTAAATTTATGGTACAAAAAATCTAATTAAAATTAAAATTTATTTTATTAAACCTGTTTATTAAAATGATTCGAAAAATATTTCAATGAAAACTATATACTTATCAAAATGAAACAGTGCTGTACATTTTCCAACTCAAGGTCCACATTCTTCGTGCTTCACGAAGGAGGATCCTTCCATAAAAGGATATTGAGGGAATTCAGGGTTCGCGATCGGCAATAGCATTATACAAACTGTGGGCCATTTCATAACGACACGCTGTCGATATTGCATGGAAGTATTAGAATAGGGTCACCTGTTTCCCCATATATCTAGCAAAAAATATTACACATGTGTATATATTTTAAAATACATATAGTCAGTTTACAAGAACAGTAACATGACTATAAAATCATAAATTTTGACATGGTAGGAAAAATAAACTCAGAAAGTAGGTTCCTTTTGTTTAGAAAAGTGTCATTTTTTAATTATGTTATTAGTTGCTTTAACAAGAACAATCATACAACTCAAAATGAAGAGCTGCTTTATCCCCTAAAAAAAAAAACTTTAATTGACATTTTGATAAAGAAATGCAAAGCTAAAGACCCTTAGAATAATATATACACAATAAAATAGATTCTCTGAAAAACAATCAAATAATAAACAAATTTTATTGGAAAAATAAAGTTCATGCTTTTTTTTAAAATTAACTTTTTCGACTTATGTCATTCTTCTTGCAAATCGATAATAATTATACATTACTGGACTCTCGTTATATTGCCAAATGAGCGATTTAATTTTCACATAGATTTTCAAGCCTGAGAAAGAGTAGTGCTACTTTTCCACCATCATAGCCTATGAAAATGATACAATTTTATCTCCCTTTCCCTCTCCAACTGAAAGTTTGGAAGTTGAAAAATTTTCCACCCCTTCCGCCCCGTCAGCGACAACGTAAGGAGAGTCTACCGTACTGTCAGCTGCGTAATAAGTAATTAAAATCTCAAGTTTCTCAAAAGGGATCCATCGAAGCAAGTATAATTAAATTAAAGAATTTAATGAGTTTCCAAATAATTTAACACTAGATACAAAATTGACATTATTACATAGATATTTAATACAGGTATTATGAACATTTAATTAAATTCTAACACTCTATTTAAAACTAGAGTATCTTTTATAATATTTCAATATATTAATAATATACAGTACATTACACGAATATAAATGAAGGATGTGTGTAATTTCATTGCACGTTTCTAGAGTAATTAAATTTTGCTCCAACGTCACAGTTGAAAATGTTATATGAAATTTGATTTATTTAACATTAATATCTGTCACGTGTCTATATGTATATTGTATAACCAATTTAAGTGCATCTATACACGTTTCTATTATTCTAATTATTTAAAAGTAGAATAAAATATTGGAATCTGTTTTGTAAATTATTATTTATAAAAATGCTAATGTACTATTTTATTGTCATTTTTTGTTCTGTGGCAATGTAGTAAAAATGTCCTTGAAAATATATTTTTTTAACAGATGAATTCCTAAAATTAAAATGTGTATTTTTAAATTTGTCTCGACGAATATTGCTAAAATATATAACACATAAAAATAAATTTCAGTCATATTAATTTTTAATATTATATATTTTGTAAATAAATTAATTTTTTTGTAAATCTGTTTATATGGATGAATTTATTATTTAAGAATATCTAGGCCTTAGATGTAAACATTTTTCCTGTAATAATAATTATTCAACATTAAGAGCTATTTTCACCCTTTCAATATGAGTTAAAAAAATACGTGTCAAATATTTATAATTTTCAAATTCTCTATTAAAATTGATGCGTGTCGCTTAATTAACTTTCTCTATTAAGTGGAAGCTTCGTTACATTACTATCGCTAATAACGTCATATTATTAAGGATGCTTGGGGCCATTTAACTTATTAGCAACATCCCGTCCCCGTCTGTAATTTTCCTCCTATCTTGCGTTACATTTTCGCGACAACTGTAAATCGTTCGCTTCTAATTAAGTTCCTTTGATTATAACGGTGGCTCTAAACCAGACCAAGTCCTCTAATCCTATGTTCGCAAACGTGCGACTGACGCGTTCCTTTGTGCAAATGGAACAGAGAAGTTCGCGAGAACACATCTAAGAATGGAAAGTGTTGGTTGCTTCTGAAACCGACTTGGAAATAGAATCTTCTTTTCAGAAAAAAGAAACAGGGAGACTAAATGAACGGCGGGAAAAGAGCGAGATTGTAACAAGCCTGTAACCAGAGGGGAAATCGAAAACAAACAATAACAAAAGACGGATAAAAAAATGAAAATGAGAAGCAGAGATTAGAAGGTAAGTCTCTGGAAGAGGATGAGAAACTCCAAGGAAATTCGCAGTGCAACGAAGCGACAGATAGAATAACCGACTTTCATAAAAAGGAAGAGAATAGAATCAAAGCAGACTGAAAAATAAACGATGAAATCTAAGAAAAACGAAATGTAATGAGGGAGATAGGAAGAAATGAGGAAATAGTAAAAAGAAAAGATCGCAGTTTGTTGACAGAAGGTGAAGGAGACATAGAAGAATGCAAATGATTCGATGTGTACAAAAAGAAAAGGTATGAATTGAAGAAGGAGTAGGTGGTAGTAAGGGTGAAGAAAAGCAGAGTTTCTTGGAACATGAAAGTTTTCGAGTTAAATATAATAAAACTAAAATTTCAAAATTTCAAATCCTCAAAATTCTAAAATTCTAAAATTCCAAAATTCCAGATCCTAAAAATTCTATAATTCTAAAACTCTAAAATTTCAAAATTCCAGATCCTAAAAATTATAAAATTATAAAATCCTTAAATTCCAACATTCCAGATCCTAAAAATTCTAAAATTTCAAAATCCTAAAATTATAAATTTCAAAAATTCTCAAAAACTTCCTAGAAGAAGGTCTAAAAGTTACGCCAATGCCACTCTGATTCGACATTCAATACTTCCAGTTTTTTAAATTAAAGTAGCAAATGAATTAGTCAATGATAACTGTCGTAACGAAATATATAAAGTGGCAACTAAGTCCTGAACTATCAAAATTTTATGCCTGGTGTTGTTAAAATAAGCTACGAGTCTTGAGCTTTGAATGGTGAGCCGCCAAAGCTTAAACCCTCTGGGTTCGAACCTTTATTGAGCAATAAGAGCTGGGGTCCTTAAGCTCGAGCTTTTAAGCTCGTCAACTCGAGCTGTCTAAATTGTGTAGGATCTTTGTTTTATGTTTGTGATATGTTTACTTTAATCCGAATGGCTTTAGACTTTATAAATATTTAAAAGTTGTTAATTTAATTACCAGAAAAAGAAACAGGTTGAACCAATTCACAATTTAGACTTCTGGCTATATAAAATTACGGTCACATTTATTAGAAAATAAATCAATTAGTGCTAATTTCTTTATTTTTAACTGAGAAAAGTCACCGTGTTGAGAACGAACGTGATCGAATCACAGTTGATTTATAAATAGCAGTTCACGCCATTTCTAATTATGGTAATCCAAGTTAAAACGTTAATCACTGTATCTAAAAGATTTTAGAAAATCTTTTTCAAAAATTCCAGGGCCATTAAAAGTATCAATTAAAGAAATAAATATAAATAATGTCAGAGTCATTGAATATTATTTTAAAAACAAAATGAAATTTCTAAGATTAAAAAAAAATAAATTATAAAGAACCTGTAACCATATTTAATACAATACTATTCAATGTTTCGTAATAAATATTCAAAATATACAAATAAATCAGCATTATATTTTAAATTTAACTTATCATTTATTTGTTGATATTTTCTTGCAGATAAAATAAATTTTATGATCAAGTTCGTAACAGTTATATCAAATGTTTGTTGCAGGCATTGCGAATATTTTGGCTACGTGCCACATTACCGAAACATTTAACGATACTCTGTAGTGCATACAGTAATGCAAAGTATAACATATATGTATACGTTTACATGAAAATAGCATATTATTCAAAATTGTTTGCTTTCACACATATCATAAGCTCGATACCCTTTTATTCGACACATTTCAGTATTTATGGCACAAATATCAGTAACATGTGGAAACGTAAAGAGCAGTCGTCTATTTCGTATTCAAAATATAATACATTCTTCAAATCAATTAATTAAAGAGAACAATTTTATTAATGCCAATTTCAACAAAATGAAAGTATTTAATAATGCATTCTTTCAATTTGTTTTTTGCAGATTGTATTTAAAGTTGTTATTTATAATAATAAATTATTAATTTTTGAATTTAAAAAAAGTTAGGAATCGTTAGACTTTCTATTATAGAAAATTTCTTTTAATGAAAATCATTTAATTTCTCGTTAATTAATTACATACATTTCTCTTCATGAAATCGTGTTGCAGGTAATCTGAATTGTGTTTACGATAGAAACAACAGAGTTAAATTAAACCAGGAATGTTTTATGTCCTTTTTGTTTTCTTACAATTGGTATAAGTTTAAAGAAGACCCCACAACGCTATCACAACACATCGGTCTTGATGAATCGTAAATAATGCGAACAATGCTCTGACGCTAAGTTTAAGCTGCTCCTTTCAACGAGAATCTAAGAGAGGCGTATTCCGGTACCAACTTTCGCGTTAAGCTTCGTTGCAATAAAACCTGCACAGTGCATATACGAAAATCATAAATCTCAACTTCTTGTTACAACTTTTAACGAAAACATATTAACAACTAT